GAATTTAAACCATTTGACAAAATATCAGAATAAACTTTTTATATATCAGACTGTTTTAATTATAAAGCAACAATTACAAAGTAAAGAAAGTAAGAAGGAAAATATAAAATTCTTACGTGGTACTGGTACTAGTAGTAGCAGTAGGTTCAAATCACACAAGTTTATCATTCTAAATACTGAATCATATTTTTATTATGAACTAAATACATAAAATTATGCTAAATTATTGAAGCCACTAATTTAAATGCAAAAGAATATAAAAAATAAACTTTCAGTTCAAAGTGCTAAGCCTAATTCACGTAAAGACTATGCACTCGCCACTCGATAGCTGTTAACCCTAACAATCGTGGATCAACTTCTTTCCTAAAAAATATATCTATTTTGAGTTAATTTTTCAATGTAATGATTAATATAAATAGATATACGATACAGCATGACTTAAGCTACTATAGAAAAATAACAAGAGTTACATACATCCCATGCAGTTTTTTTCCAGAAGCAAATTTTCCAAGGTTTATAAAAAAGTACTATTGACTAATAATAAATACAACCTCTACATAAAATGGCAGTTACTATAATAAGCACCCTTCACATTCTTATTGTAAAATCCATAGAACAACATTTCGTCACGTGTTTTGCTTATCATCCTATGATTTGTCAAATGTGAAATACAGTGATTGGAATAACATGGTACTGAAATTGACACCATCCACTAGAATTAGCTAAAAGTTTTACAACTGAGGTTTAACACACCCAAACACTGTTTTATAAAGAAAACAGACTAGAAAAAGGTTTAGATACCAATCATAGATGGCAGGACCAGCACTAAAGTGCAAGGAAGATATTAATAAAAATGTTGAAAAAATTTTTTTCTTAGAGGGCACTTATTTATAGTCTCAAATGTATTTTGGGATTTTTTAAATTAAATTTCTCTTTAAACTTCATTAAACAATACAATTTTGTATAAATAATTAAATGTTATTCTACTATTTACAAAAATAAATTCTGAAATCCAATAAAAGATAAGTTCTCTGTAATTTTTTCAATTCACAAATGTGATTTTGCCCTCACAATAAGACAATAGGGTCCTGGTAGGTATGGGGGTTAAGTTATAACTTGTATTTGTAATTTTTTTGTTGTTGTTACTTGATTACATGAGGGCTATTTCATCTAGCCATCCCTGATTTTGAAGTGACAGACTATAAGGATGGCAGCTATTTGACACCATCTACTGTTGACTCTTGGGCTACTACTGATGGATCAAATAATGGGATGTGACTGCCACACTTATAAATGTGCACATGGCTCCAAAGGAAAGACTCTGAGGAGCATAATTTTTTTTTTTGCTAGTACTGGGATGCAAACTAAGGAACCTTAGCTCCACAGTCCAAGATACTAAATAGTGAACAACATATTTGATATTATTAAACTTCATATCAGCTTGACTAATTTCTAAAACAAGACACCTACAAAAAAATTCTGAAATGCTATAAAATTGTCTTTCTTTGTTTATGATCTTTCTTCTATTCCACATACAGCTTTATCATTCACCTTAATCATATGCGAGTGAAACTCCAGCTGTTGAAGTATGTCATTTAAAAAAAAAATTATATGTAAATTTATAAGGTAAGATAAAAAATGTGAATTTATAACATTTTTATTATGACAATTTTTTTTTGGTTAAACAATTATGAAGAACTAGGTCTACAAAGCAGCATATTTGTTATCTAAATATACCATATGTATAATGTATTTGGAAAAACAGAAATATATACACACACATTTCACAGGGCTGTCAGTTTGGCTATGTATAAATCCTGGTACTAAAAGCTTACCGTCAAATAAACATTAGTGTAGAAACAGTTTTCAATCATTTGTCACACTTAAAAGAAAGATAAATATATAGTAAATTTGACGATCCTCTCTAAAGAAAGACTGGCAACCAACTTGTACAGTTAAGAAGATTTATATATAGCTTAAAACAACAGCTTTTTGTGCATTAAGCAGAATATCTTTCTCTTGATGGAAAATGCAGTTATACATTTATATTTATTAAAGTTATAAACCAGCATTCTCTAATTACAAACTTATAATCAGTGCAACATATTTTTTTTACATAAAAAGAATAATGTTTTTTTAAAATATAAAACTTGAAGGGAGACAAAAATACCTCGAACAATACAAAATAATTGTGTATTTACTAATGTTAGAAAAGGTAGAAATTTAGTTGTTTTTCTTTTCCCTATTTCTGGGTCAAAAACATTAACGTATGGTTATTCAAATCTAAATATATAAATGACTGACATACATGTAGCTTTTTCAGTAAGACAGCATCAGTAGGTGAAGGGCTGCTTTGCTTGGCTGCCTTCCAGAACTGCTTCTGGGCTGAGTAACGGTTCATTGGACACATTTTAAACAAACAATCTGAAAACAAAAGTTAATACCAAAAAATAAACAAGAGTGACTGAAACACCAATACTTATAACAATTAGAATACATTAACACTTGTTTTAAAACTGAAATAATGGTAATAAAAGCAGGTACAATGAGTGGGTTTTTTAAAGAACTGCCATTTCTTTTGTTATGTAGTGGCTTTATTGGAAACTACATGTAATGTTAAAAACAAGGTGCTACAAAAAGAATTGATAGTACACATTTCATAACTAAGATTCTTTCTAGCAAGTATCAATACACTCAAGATACAACCATTTAAATCATTTACACTGAAAGATTCTGGATACAGAAGTTTACTATAATCAGGATTAACAAGATTGTTTCACTTGATGGAGCCATGCTAGTTTTATAATCCTCCTTTGAACTTAATTGCATATCGAGGCTAAGTATCAGGAAATTGAGATAGCAAGAAGCACCTTCAGATTATTCATTGGTTGCTAAAGCAATCAGCACATAGGTCAGCAGCTAGATTCACATCACCTGGCCTTTACAGTCCAGTTTTGCCAGCAATTTCATTAGAAATACTGTAATAAAGTGCTTTCTCAAATGTATTTTGGGATTTTTTTAAATGAACTTTCTCTTGTGAATTGAAAAAATGATAGAGAACTTATCTGTTATTGGATTTCAGATTTTATTTTTGTAAATAGTAGCACAACATTCAATTATTTGTACAAAATTGTATTATTAAACTTCATTAAGTAATACAATTTTGTACAAATAACTGAATATTATGCTACTATTTACAAAAATAAAATCTGAAATTCAATAAAAGATAAGTTATCTATAATTTTTTCAATTCACAAATGTGATTTTACTCTTACGATAAGACAAAATAGCCACGGCAGTTAATGGGTTAAACAGTAAGTTAAACTGAGATATCTCATAAATAGTACCATAAATGTGAAGTCTAAAATCTTCTACTGCAATACCCAATTGGAAAGAATTTTGTATTTTTAAGACCTCCTGTCTTATTACCTTTTAAGTATCTTACTATCAATCTGACAGTCTGATTGCATATTATCCTTGGCAGTTAAAAGTTTCAAGTTTAAGCCAGAATCTTAATTGAATGTCTTACACATTCTCCTACACAAGCTTTGAAGAAACAGTTTGATGTACTGTTTTTCTTGCAGGAAATCTCAGAGTGTAAATATTACAGTACACTTTCTAAGAAAGATTAATATAAACAAAAAAATCCTATAGCAAAAAGAAACTTTAGGACTGAGGCTTGAAATTTTCACACTCATAATTAAAAATGCCTTGTGGGTGAAGGGAGACAAGGATGGCTTGTACTCTTGGATAGAGCACTGGCTCTGTTAGCCAAAAGTCCCGGATTTTCTTTTCCACTATCAGTTTTTTTTTCTTACAATAATGTTTCTTAGAAAGTATACTTTCACTGATTCATAATACAAACCTTACAACAGTAAACTTTTTTTTTTCATCACTGTAAAAAAAACAAATTCCATAAAAATACAGAATTGCCCATTCAGATGATAGTAATATTCTAATCTTCAAGTTGGTACTAGAAACAAATCTTTTTTCCCATCAGATAAATATCATTATCAATATGAAATACAATAGTGTAACATCTTATTTTGATCCCTGCATATTTAAAGTTTCCTGGAGTTTTTCATACATTTGTACAAACAAAAAACTCATCATTATGGATTGTAAATATGCAAAGAAATTATACAAAAAAAATGTTCATCCTTTTATTTTATTCCAATTTCTTTACATGTAAAACTTACCTTTCCAGTGTGAAGTAAATATTTTAGTATCATTGCATGTATCCAGTATATTGTTCACATGTAGGAACTAACGTAAAGACTGACACAAGTTTTTATGTTGATGAGAATTATAGTGTTTTATGGTAAAGTAACATTAAATACAGAACTAAGACTACAGTTTAAAGTTCAATACCAGGTCTAGGAGTCGAGTCTAAATGGTAAAACTAAGAAAACTGGTTATTCTAGCAATATATAGCCTTCAATCAGTAATTTCATCAACGTTTAATTTTATCTTAAAATTTTAGCAAACATTTTTTTTAAAATTATTATTTAAATATTTTACTGTTGGTAAGTTAAACAAGATTTATTAATTACATTCTTACTATGTTTTTATTTACAATTAGCTTTCCTAGATATAATTCCTTTGTTAGGCTTGCTTCTTCACTGTTGATATTTTTATCTGATTAGTGAAGGTTTGTGAATTATGTGTATTATAATATTGTTCAAATACTATAATCAATTTTAAAAAACATCTTAACTTCACTCATGATTATTACTGTTACATTGTATATCCTTCTTCATAACCATGAATATGCATGCAGTTCACTGAAGCATATGCCATATAGCCTTATTTCCACTACATACATATGTAACTCAAATGAACAAATGCTTTTAATTCTACTTTAAAATTTCAATTATTACATGTGCAAATTTTCATTCTTTATGTTTTAATGGAAAGGAATTTTTTTTAAACTCTTATTTTCGACTTATGTAGGCACAGACTCACTATATATGTATCTTTGTATATTCACATTGACATGGCAAAGTAACTGAAGATATTTTCCCTTTTCTTAACTTTCATTACATGTACACAAGTAAAGAAAAACTTTTCAAAAAAGGAAGTAAACGTAGAGATGGCCGATATAAATCCTTCAAAGACAATGCAACAAGATAGCAGGGATGGCATTTGCATCATCCCTTCATGCAAAGGTCTTTTCTTGTTTGCTTGTTTTTTTTTAATGCAGTGTTGCAGTTTCAATAAACATACGAAGGTTGTATTTATAACCAAGTTCTCAATACAATGAGGTTCCAATTGTAATATTTATTATGGTTTATCTATTATTGGCTGGTAATTCCTGCTTCACCCTGGACTTACACTTTTTTAAAGGAACACCAGATTTCTATACAAAAAGCTACCTTCAAGGGGGTAATGAGAACATAGATTACACTGGAATTATGATTATTGTTTTTTAATTACTATTAGTTATTGATAATTAACTTATAAGATCAGATACTACATTTGAAAGTATGTCACCTCAGTGAAATTGGTTGACACCTTTGTTTGGTTTTTGAGTTATCAGCTAACAAAAAAAAAAAAAAAAAAAAAGAAAACAAGAAATTCAAAATTTTTGCTATGATATTTACAGACATTCCCAAAAATTTTGGCTCAGTCATTACATAGTTATTGTTATAAAAGGAAAACACAGTATAGTATTGTAAAATTCTGAATACCATTTCAATGAACAATCCAAACCATCCCTATGTAGGCAGTGCTGCCATCTGCCTGACATCATACAAATTGAGTTCAACATGAGACCTGATGAACTAAATTAACCCTCTCCAGATGGGTCACAAGTCAAAGGCTATGTCATCGCATCTGTTGACTCATATTCAAAATTTTATTGAACTACTATTTCATGCATTTATGTCAATAAGTTTGGTATCAAACTGTAGATTATAATTCAAAATTTTAGTATTATACAAATTTATTAATTTCTTAATTTAAAAGTAAATATTAAAAAAACATAGTTAAACATCGATTGTGTGTTTACGTGGTATGTTGAATGCAGCA